TCAGGTAGGGAGGACCCCCTGTACAATTCATCCTGCAGTAGCTTTCTGAAGGTTTAGATTAGTTCTGAATCTGAACACCTGGGACACCAGAGTGGGTGCTCCTCTCAGGAGAAATCTTTAGATCCAGGACTGTCTCAGACATGAAAGACCGCTGTGGGCTTGGTGGATGTGCTGCCCACTAACCTGAAGTTACCACTTCCGGAATCCTCTTCCCCTAAAGTCACTGGTATTGGGCCCTGGCAGCTGCCAAAACATCCCAAAGTCCTTTGCAGTGCACCATCACTTGCAGCAAGTGATGCAAGCGAATTGGGCTCAGCTGGAGAAGTAATTTTTAACTCTGAAGTGTTTTGCTTAACCTGACCTCATAGAGGAAGAATTCTGCAAAAAAAAAAAAAATGGTGTTCTTTGGCTGTTGAACAGGCTATTTCCTACCAAATAAGATACCTTGTCTTTAAACAATCCACAGACAAAGAGGTTAGAGGCCCTCTTTAGAGCCTCCTCCTCTCAGGCAGGAGCATCTCTGCAGCCTGCGATGGGACTTTGCCAGTCCATTAACATGTGGGCGAAGCTTATGTTCCGTTCCAGAGAATCGGACTGGGGATCCTGCCATCTGACAGTCCTTAGCATATTTTCCAAGAGCATTCCAAGAAATCGGAGGTTCTTGAAAAATGCCTAGGAGGATTCTAAATGGCACCTTTCACAGGTGGACACCATGTCTGTCCACATTTGAAAGGGTCCTATGGTTGAAATGTTGATCAATGTAAAAAAGCAAATTGAGACACTGCCCTTTGAGGGCAAACACTTGTTTGGACCATCCTTAGGCGCAACCTGCATGGGTGGGTGGGGGGTGGGGCGTCTATCAGCCTTCACAGTCATCTGGGCTCAAGAAGTCACAGGTGACTTGGTCTACAGCGTGATGACCAGAGGCTGCAAGCTGGAGTTTCACTGCTTTCCCCCTCCACACTTTATGCTCTCAAGGGTTTCTTCAGAGCTACAAAAAAAAGAGCAGTTTTCATTGCAACTATGGAAAGGTTGCTATTCCCAGGGGGTCATCACACCTGTACCAAAGGGGAAAAGGTCTCAATGGCTTCTATTCCATCCTGCTTACAGTTCCCAAACCTAACAGAGAAGTCCAGCCTATTCTGTACCTCAAAGCCTTAACAAGTTCCTTAAAGTACTGAAATTGAGGATGAAAACCACCCAATCGGTGATTACTTTGCTTCATCACAGGGAAGTCCTAGCGTTAATGGAGATTAAGGATTCATATCTACATATCCCAGTTCTCCGACCTCACCAACAGTTTCTGCAATTCACAGTGGAGTATCATCACTATCATTTTGTCGCTTCGCCTTTCGATCTGTCCACTGCCCCTACAGTGTTTACCAAGGTTTTGGCTCTGGTTTTAGGGCTGTTGAGGACCTGGGGTATTCTACCTGGAGGACCCTCTTCTTAGGGAGAAATCAGCGCAGAAGCTGATGGCCCATGTCCAGCAGACAGTACAGGTCTTGGAAAGGTTTGGTTGGTGCTGAACCTTCAGAAGTCAATCTTGGTTCCAACACACCTGAAGCAGTAGAGTCCCTGAAGTCACTGTAAAGTCTTATGATTCAGGCTTGAATAGGTGGGGTGCTAGGGAAGATGGTAGCCAACTTAGATGTAGTATATATGACCAGTTTCACTCCAGAGCTCTTCAGGTCAATATGATGTTGGCTTGGGGCAAATATCATTAGGTGTCCCTGGACCTGCTGATGTATGTCACCACCAAGATCCAGTAAGCTCTGGAATGGTGGATACCCTATTAGATGCTGCAATAGCCTTTCTTTCGATGAATTGGAAGGTCTTGACAACGGATGCCAGCCTGTCAGACTTGGGAGGTGTTCTAGTTGACTTCTAGGTTCAAGGAACCCAGTCCTCAGAGGAGTGCAAGTTGGTGATAAACATACTGGAACTTTAGGCAATTCTGCTGGCTCCCCCACTCTGGTGTGTCAACCTTTGAAGTCCCTCATCAGAGTACAGTGGGAAAATGAAAATGCCATCGCTGTGGCATACACCAACATACATGAAAGGACATGACATTAAGCTGCTCAGGAAGATCCAGACCTGATCTTATCTTGGGCAGAACTTTATGTTCCGGCTCTCTCTACTGTGCAAAGTCACAGCATATAAAATTGGCAGGTGGACTTTCTCAGCCATCAACAGCTGAATCTAGGAGACTAGACCCTTTACCTAGTAGCTGTTTCAGAGATTGGTCTGTGGTGGAGGACACGGATGTGGATCTCTTGGTGTCTGGATTCAACAACAAACTAGACAGATTTGTGTACCAAACCAGGAATCCCTCAAGCATTTGCAGTAGATGATCAAATGACTTCTTGGGATCAGTTCTTTCTTATCCATGCCTTTCCTTCACTGCATCTTTTGCCTGGCCTGATGTGTAGGATAAATGTAGAGGGCATTCTGGTGATTCTGATTGCACTTGCTTGGCCAAGAAGAATGTGGTATACAGATATAATTAAATCTTGGAAAATGATCTGTGAGCTCTTCCAGATCAAACACATTTGCTGTTGTAGGGTGTGATCTTCCATCCTGCTTTATAATTGCTGACTTTGACGGCATGGCTGTTGAAGACTAAGTACTGAGGGATAGGAGTATTTCTGACTCTGGAACCCCCTCCTCCTTAAGGCAAGATAGTTGACCTCAAGGAAGGTGTACCGCCATAATTGGAAAGCTTTTTTGCCTGGTGTTAGGCTCATACCTTTCATCACTGACTGTATGCTGTGGGGTGCATTTGGGGATTTTCTCCAGTTTGGTGTGGATATGATTCTGGCTTTAAGCTCCATCAAGCAACAGATCTTGGCCTTGGCTATTCTGTTTCAGAGACTTATCCCTTTGTAGAAAACTGTGCAGGGTGTCACACGAATTGTTCCTCTGTGTGCGCCCTGCTACCCACCCACCTTGTCACCATGGGACTTTAATTTGGTATTGTGTGTTTTACAGACTTTTCATTTTGCACCTTTTTGAGAGATTCCCTTGTTGCTCCTTACATAATACAAACCTAACCATTCTCTTCATTCCTCCAGCTCTCTAGTTCCTTTCTCACCTCCTCCCACTCTCGCATCCAGGACTTTTCCTGAGCCTCTCCCATCCCAAGAAATTCCTTATCCAATCTGTCCAACTATCTCCTACTCTGTCCACTTTTAGGCATTCCCTGAAAATCTCTCTCTTCAGAGAATCCTATTCTGCCTCCACCTAACTGTACTTTTATTTTCTTCATCAGCTCAACCCCCACAGTTATTACCTTTTGTATCACTTGACCCTCCCTTTTAGATTCTAAGCTCCAACAAGCAAGGCCCTCTCATTCCTCCTGTATTGAATTGCATTGTAACTGAACTGTCTGCTCTCAAGTTGTAAATCGCTGCGTAAACTGTTGGCACTATAAAAATCCTGTATAATTATAATAATACATGTAAGAACGTCATGTTCCAATTACTTCAGCCAGCAGGGTCTCAGAATTGGCTGTGATTTTCTGCAAAGAACATTTCCTAATTCTTCACAAGCATAAGGTGGTGTTGAGGCCTTGGTCCTCTTTCTTTCTTGAGGTGGTTTCTTCATTCCACAGGACACTGTTTCGCCATCTTTTTTGCTTAATCCTAGGAATTCTAAGGAGAAGAAGCGTCACTCCTTGGATGTTGTTCGCGCTGTTTAAGTTTATCTTAAGTCTGCAGCTTTGTTTCAAAAGTCTAATTCCTTCTTTCCCTGTCATGGCCCAGTATACCAGGAGTATCAGTACCTTCTGGGCGATTCAGTATTAAGCTTCTGTTGTTTGTTTTTATGGCTAATACATAGTCATCTCTTCACACGTTTACTAGGTTCTGCCAGTTTTTGGCAAGGTCTTACAGGCGGCATTGTAGAAGGGTCCCTGTTGTTTTAAGCTTTTGGGCATGTTTGGCCTTCTTGCTGTGTTGCCCATTGCTCGTGTTCAGTGCTTTGGAACATTCCAGGTAGTCATGAACATGAAATCCTCTGTGTTCTGTTATGTACGATTAAGAAATTAGGATTTTTGGTTTACCTGAAAAATCTATTTAGAAGTAACAGAGGACACAGAGATCCCTCCCCTTATGTCCGTTACTTGGTACAAAAAATTAAGATTAGCTGAGCTGGAAGAAGCTATGCTTAGATGGAGACTTCTGCCTTCTTTTTGCCAGTTCCAAGAAAATAATGTACCAGGTAAACCAAAAATCCTAATTTTACAGCGAAAGAGCAGTCTCTATTGGAGTAGAGTATCTGCATTTTCTACTACTACATATTGGTAACCTTCCCCTAACTTCCAGTATGGAAACTAGAACAAGAAGTTAAAAAAAAAGTTTGCAAAAAGGGAACAAAGAGAGCAATATAAACCTTGCAGAAGTTCTAACTCTTCCATATTATTTCCTAATATATAAACAAACCAGAATACACAGAGAGGAAAACCATTCCTCGCTCCTTCATTCTGTAACCTCTGGCTGGGAAGTGAGGAGGAGACAAGCCAGAGATGCATGGACAGTTGACTGTAATGCTATGCTAAGCTTCCTACCTAATAAAAGATGTTCAAACATTTCCTCCTCATAAAGGGTAAGTATTTTCTCTGTGATTATACTGGAATTATGTTATACGTGTAGTTTAGATGCAAACAGCACGAAGTGTTAACACCCCAGACACATCAAGGCGACTTTGAAATTGTGCAACTTACAGTGAAGTTGCACGATTTCAAAGTCGGGTGGCTAGCAGATTTCAGGTGTGATTTGCAAGACATCTGACACAGATGTCTATGCAAATCACACCAAAAGTAGTGCATGTACTACTTTTGAAATCGGTGCAGCTCTGTCCAACTCAGAACCGCACACAGCTCCAATTGTGGACAATAGGGTGCGACTTTGCATGCAATTTGCAAGTCGCAGGGCATGCAAACTGCATGCCAAGTCGCACCAGGGGGTTCAAAACAGAAAAAAGATAAATAACATGCTCACCTTTTGTCTTTTTAAAATGTCAATAAGTTTGAGTTGTTTCTTAAATCCAGCCATCAAGTCTGCTTTTTGTTTTTCCAGCTTCTTGTTTTCCAATTTAAGTTCATCAATCTTTCTGCGTTCTTGATAAGCGGTGTCCTAGGAGAAACAAGCAGCGCTGCATTAGTGGAATCCCATTTTATACCAGTCTGCCACCTTAAAATGCTGCAAACAGTATGCAAACTGAAAGCATAATGTAGGTTACTCCTATGGTTCAAGTAGTAGAAAATAAAATAAATACTATAATATTGTATTATAAACTATTACATGTTGGTGGTTTCATTCAGGTTAAAAATACAAACAGCATCCTTTTTAGAGAAACAAATGTGAAAAGAACCTGTTTCGGTAAATTCGGTTTATTAAACATCCACAATATATGAGAGGAAAGCTGTCATTAAAAAAACATGGAGGTGCCATTTCCAAGCTCTCTATTCAGGTTGCATATTCTACTATATCTGTATCATTATTCATAGTGAGTGCAAAAGAACAAGGTCTCGTGAACATTGGGTGTTTAGCCCCGATGCATGGGCCTTTGGCATTTAGCTGTGGACAAAGATGCTCTGTCCAGCCCCGCTGCTGGCAGCCTGTCAAAGAGGCTGACAGCTGCTGTGACTGTGCACCTAGCAGTATGAAGGTTTAGGGCAGTATGTGCCCAGAGATGAATGTCCAGGATGCAGACTTCTTGCATACAGCCATTCATATCTATGAGTGGTTGTATGCAGCACCGCAGGCAATTGATACATGAGGCCTCTTTTTTGTTCAATTGTCAAGTGTGTGGATGTGGAAATCCTCCAGCTGAGCTATTGTATTTTGAGACTTTCCCGTCATGGAAAAACACTTATAGGCGCAGCCAGCTATAGCCTGCAGCGCTGACTGAGCAATGAAGAACCCAACAGGGTGATTGAACAGAAGTTGATTGGTGGATCCTGATGAATTTTGATTCATGCATGGCTGGCTTAACATTTCCGGCCATGGAAAAAAGACAACATTTGAAAAGAGAAGTATGGGTTAAGAAAAAAAAAATAATTATACTCTACTAGGTAGATGCAGCATTGCTTCAATGCTGTATTTGTCCCCTGCCGCCTCTAAGCCAAGAACTGAGTGATCATAGACTGCTGATCGCTCAGTTCTTGGTCTTTACCGAACACAGAGGTGACTGTCAGTGCTCGCTGGAATGCCAGGTTGTGCAGGGGGTGCTGGGAGACTAAGCCAACTGCTGGTCAGGCATCTGGGTGGATCTTGACATTAAAGTCGGGATCCCTAGAGAGTCTGAACTGGCTGAGTGATGTCAGTCGACAAGGGACTTTAACCCAGTGTTGGCTGAATCTGGGTCACAGGAGTGCAGAACTAAGTGCACTCATGTGACCCACAGGAGAAGTAGAGCCAAAAGAGCTTTGGCTCCTGACTAAACTTGCCCTGGGATTTGTGTGAAATGTGAGTTAGAGAACTTAGACTGTAAGCTCCTTGACTGATGTAAATGTACAATATATATGTAAAGCGCTGTACAAATTGTCGGCGCTATACAACTACTGTAATTAATGATACATAAATAAATAAAAGCTGATCATTGTATGCACCCTTGTTAGTGTTAAATGGCTTGTATCAATGCTGTAAGCTGCCATTCACATCTGTGCATTGTTGCTTGAAGCTCCAAAATACTCAAGAAGCCAAATGGCATGCTTTTAAATTGTTCCTGTTCACATTTCAGTGTTCAGGCACCTGTAGCTTAATGCCTGAAGCTCCAAAAGGTACATTAGCTACTTTTGAAGCAGAATGGGGCATTTTTTGCCCCATTGACGTCAATGGAGCTAGTGAAAAAACACATTAGAATTGCATGTCAACTGCTAAGTTATGCTAACCTGTATGGGGATATATCTAATGACCAATCAGCAATAAGCGTTCATCAAATCAGTGCAGTCAGACTAGTAATAAGTCAACTATAACTGGATGTTACACTATACCCATTATTGCCCTTTGAATCCTTATTAAATAAAATCCTAAACGTTTCTATGATGTTATTCTATCATATCTATCGTAATCCTTTTTTTTTTTTTCTTTGAACCAATTTAGAAGCCTCAGACTCTACTGTATGCTACACTGACAAATTAGACAAAGGCAGCTAAGAGAAAATGCAATCTGTGCACAGATTAAAGCCAGGCATCTGCTTTATTGCTGTATCAGCTGGATATCTTTTGTCTTATTTGTAGACGTCATAAACAAAATACACATCTGGAGCAATTGTGAAAAAAACATTTTCATACCTCAGCTAATATACAGCAGGGTCTCAAGTCAAGGATAAGAACTAGAAACAATGTTCTCAAGAAAAAAAAAAAAAAAAGCACCTAGTAAAGGAAACTGACCTGATATATTGGTGACATTTTATAGCTACACCAATGTACATTTCTACTCAAAAGGTGACTGGGCTGTATGCAGCAATTTAAAACCCCAAGTAAAAATGCTTCTTGCTAGTTACTGTCCAGGGGATGGGAGAAGCATTTTTACTTACCTGACCCCCTGTTTCCCCAGCAGACGGTGCTCCTCTATGCTCTGACAATGACTGTTCCTCAGCATCCTCATGTCCAATGCAGGTCTATGGGCACTGCAGGGGTCATGATGACATCAAAGGACTTTAGAATGCCAGACTGCAGGGAAGAAGTAGACTAGCAGTATAGAGGAGCCAGTGGGAGAAGAGAATGGGGTAATGAAAAATGGTTTTCTGAGTACCAAGAATTCAACATTTGAACTGTGCAAGGGACCATTTTTGCTTTTCCAGGAGTTCAGCTTTAAGAAGTCAATCCACTCAAAAGTGGTATTTTACATTTAAGTGGTAAGAGTCAGTTCCAGTTTTCTTATATGTCTTGGATATGCCACCTGTGAGATCCTCCTTCCAGAGTTCCAGAGTTGTCCACCTAGAAGTACATAAGAAATCCAACAAAGAGAACCCCTCAAAGGTAAAGCAGTAGTGCATACCCCCAGGAAATCACAACACATAAATTGGCAGGTGGTTTAAAGGATAAGTTTACCTTTGTGAAAAAAATAATAAATGCACATACAGTATTTGTGCATTTATTATTTTTTTCACAGGGGCCTGCAGAGCATTGCACCCATGATCAGTAGATTGCGGGTGCACTGTCAGGCACCTGCAGCTTTCTGCCATTACCTATGTACACGCTTTCAATTTGAAGCTGCAGGGCCTGTGAATGAACTACGAGCACATACATCAGCACCCTGGCAGTTCAATGAAAACGACAAGCTATCTGCTTGTAGTTTTCTCATTCACAGATTGCTTTGAAAGAATGACGCAGCTATGTGGGCAGAGCCCCACACAGTCAAGCCAATTTTTGAAATGTGTGACACGCGAGTAAGGCCGTATTCATACCTCCCCCTTTTTAGATACATCTTTTATCTATTAGGCTGCCAGTCCTCCTGGTGGAAATGGACTGAAGTGAAAAAAGTAAATTTTAGTTCCTTTCATAAATGCATTAGGTTTCACTTATTGCAACTTTAACCACTAGCCTACAGGGCACTTATACCCCCTTCCTGCCCAGGCCAATTTCCAGCTTTCAGCACTGTTGCACTTTGAATGACAATTGCGCAGTCATGCAACACTCTGTACCGATATGAAATTTTTATAATTTTTTTGTGACAGATAGAGCTTTATTTCGGTGGTATTTTAATCAACTCTGAGTTTTTATTTTTCTTAAACAAACCAAAAACCACTGAAGATTTTGAAAAAAAAATGTTTTCTTAGTTTTTGTTTATAAAATTTTGTAAATAAGTGATTTTTCTCCTTCACTGATGTGCGCTAATGAGGCTGCAGTGATGGGCACTGATAGGCTGCACTGATGGACACTGATACGTGGCACTGATGGGCACTGATGAGGAGGCACTGGTAGGTGGCACTGATGGGCATTGACATGCATCACTGATGGGCATTGAAAGGCAGCACTGATACATGGCACTGATAGGCGGCACTGACTGGCAATGATAGGTGGTGCTGATTGGCAGCACTGATAGGTGGCACTGATTGGCATTGATAGGTGGCACTGATGGGTGACACTGAAAGGCAGCTCAGATGGGCACTGATATGTGGCATTGATGTGCACCTGTAGGCACTGATATGTGGCATTTATGTGGCACTGGCAGGTGGCATGGATGAGCACTCTGACACAAGGCACTGATGGACACTGACAGGTGGAACTGCTGGGGATACACTGATCATCAGGGCACACTGATCATCAGTGCCCTGATGATCAGTGTACATGTCCTCTCCGTGGAAAGCCGATTACCGGCTCTCCTCTCCTCTTGCGCTGTCAGCGTGACAGCTCGAGAGGATAGAAATGCCGATAACCGGCATTTCCCTGTTTACATGTGATCAGCTGTGATTGGACACAGCTGATCACATGACCGAGCCGACATTTTCGGCTCTTTCCATGATCGGTGGTCCGCTGTGTCCGAAGGACACAGCACACCGCCAATTGCCACGCTGCGTGCTCCCTGAGCTGCGCATGCGCAGTGAGAATGGGAGGACATCATATGACGTCCTCCCAGAACGAGAGAACCACCTTGCGTCCGTCATATTACTATATGGTGGGCGGGAGGTGGTTAAGGTACATTTGACAGTCAATGCAAGGTGATGCATCCAGCTAGAGCAAATAAAACAGTAAGGGCTACATTAAAAAAATGAAAGTAAAACGCCAGTAAAACTACCCATTCTAGTTGTTGAGCTACATGCCCCCCGGAGAGATAATAGTATGGGAATGAAGAGATGACAAATGTGTCAGGGTAACACTAACGCTTTGTGACATGATCCACTAATGACATATAAACAGAGTTCTGCTTTAAAAACCAACAAAGCAAGAAAAAGAAATAAGTACCTTATTACTCTGTCTTAGCTTACTGAGCTCCATCTTATATCTATCAGCTTCTTCAAGGGCTCTGTTCAAGCGAACCTCAATGGCACTCTGGTTACTAGCAGATTGCTTCTGTACTCTCTTAAAGTTTTCCAATTCCTATATTAAAAAATTAAATGTTCATAATAGAAGTGAAAAAAACATAGTTAGATTTGTATGACAGTCATAGATCATTAAAGTATATGTGAACCCTCCCTTTGTAAAACAACCCATTCAGTATAAAATAGAAATGAAAGACAAAACATTTGTGTATACAAAAATAATCAGTATAAATACTTTTTTTTCCTTGTTTTTATTAGTGATCACATGCCCTCTGTTCTCAGCTGCATAAGGAGTTTAGAGAGCTAGGGGAGGATAAACAGCATCCACACTGATCTTCCCAGTGAATGGCTGTGTAGAGGGGGCGTAGGGTGTCAGCAGAAGTCTGATCGTTGGAGAAGAGCACACAGAGTTCACAGCACAGGTAGAGAACTGACCACGCTGTGCTTTCATGATTGGTGTGGCCAGTTTTTAATAGGAAAGCAGCTGAACTTGAAGGAATACCAGGTATTTCACACAAAGGAAGCAACACAAAGAGAACAGCATACTTTTTAACACAAGTGCATGGTAAAGCAGGCACATATCAGGAATTTTAAAGATTTGGTTTATATATTCTTTAATTTTTAATTTTTTTTTAAATCCAAATATATCTTTTAATTAATGACGGATAATACGCCAGCATACCACTTGCAGTACATGTATACACACTGTGGTGACTTGCCACATCATTTTTTTAAATGTTACTTACTTTCACAGGGACAGTGGTATCAGCAGAAAGGAAAGAAAACATTGCAATAAAAACACATACAGCAATAAAAAGCCTTTCCATACTTTACTTAAAAAACAAAAAAAAATTGTCTGCATGAACATATTTTACAGAGTTTATGGGTATTCTAAAGCAAGAGCACAGCAAAAGTAATTTGCTTTTAGACACCCTCTCCATTTGAGAGGGTGGCCCACCTGAACACTGATAGGCAGCACTGAAGGGCACTGATAGGCAGCACTAATGAGGTGGCACTGATAGGTGGTACTGATGGGCGGCATTGACTGGCGCAACTGTTGGGCACTGACTGGCGCAACTGCTGGGCTGTACGGATGGGTACTGGTGGGCTGCACAGGTGGGTGGCACTGCTGGGCACTGGTGGGTGGCACTGCTGGGCACAGGTGGGTGGCCTGGTGGGGGTGGCACTGTCCTGGTGGGTGGGCAACGATGCATGGGCAACTGATCATAAGTGCCCTGATGATCGGTGCCGATCCCTGCTCTGACAACTGCCGGTTCTGGGCAGTACTTTCCTCACGCTCTGACAGCGTGAGGAAAGTGCAGCCAAGAACCGGCAATTGCATTTCCAGTGACCAGCATGTCATTGGACACGGCTGATCACATGGTAAAAGGCTGCCGTGATTGGCCTTTTACCACATCACGTGATCAGCTGTTTCCGTAGGACACAGCGATCACGGAGATAGCCGGGTGCGCGCAGGAGAGCGCGTTATAGGAGGACGTCATATGACATCCACCCAGAACTGGCTGGCCGCAGTGCAGCCGTCATTCGGCTATCTGCGGTCGGCAACTAGTTTTAATAAACAGACACTTACCTGTACCTGGATCCAGCACTGTGCTCACCCGAGGGGGCGCCAAGGGCCGTCTGCCGGCATCATAACTGTGGACACCTAGCTGTGACAGCTTGCAGCATTCACACTGTGTATGAGCAAAGCGAACTGCGCAATGTGACTGGTCCCGCAGTCTTTTGGGACCTGTGCCATGCCCCAAAAGACAGTGGGGGGGGGGGGGGGGGGAGTAGGAGAACTTTCGTTCAGATCGCCTAGGCAATCCGAGTGGAAGTGGGAGTGGGTACCTATCAGGTACCCACTCCCCCAATCCCCAAAACATTGCCAAAATACCGGAGGGGGGGGCCTTAAGGTTGAACTTCCCCTTTTGGGTGGAGTTTCGCTTTAAGGTTGCTTACATAAAGCCATGACTTTACAGCTCCCCCACCTGGAAGAAGGGATCAGGACAGCTGTTCAGGTTGCACACTAGCTGCTGCATACTTTATTGTTTAATTGAATACTACTTTGTTCTTCATTTTCTAGCGACAGCAAATAAAAAATATTGAAAAGAAACAGTAAACTAAATGTTTCAGCTCACTATGCTTCTACATCATAATAATGTTTGCACAGAACAATGTTTTAGGTTTTGCTGAAATTATTTCTATATCCGTTCTTGATTGCAGCAGAGACTCTATAGCTCTGATAAAGTAATAATCTATCATTCTAAGACGGCAGCCTCACACTACTATTTAGGCATCAAGAATTTTATCAGGTAACTTGCAATCATGGTACCTTTCTGGGGTAACTTTTATATATTCCAATGCTGAAACTCCGATTAAAATAGAAATAAAATCAATTAAAATAGAAATAAACGTTGCAGAGGCAACCTGTCAATGTGTGCAGTGTCTCTGTAAAGGTATACAACTGATATGTGTACTTTATCTTTAACGCATTAAATTCAAACTACTAACATTGATGTACAAAGCCATTCATAACCTTGCCCCAAACTACCTTACTGACCTGATACCCAAATACCACCCAACCCGTACTCTTCGCTCCTCACAAGACCTCCTACTTTCTAGCTCCCTGGTCTCCTCCTCCCACGCCCGACTGCAGGACTTCACCAGGACTTCCCCCATCCTCTGGAACTCACTACCCCAATCCATCAGACTGTCACCTACCCTCCTCACCTTTAGGCGCACCCTGAAAACCCATCTCTTCAGGGAAGCCTTCCCCACCCTCACCTAACAGCCGATCTCCTCCACTCCTCCCACCACTCCATCCCCCACAGCCACTTCCTCCTGTACCACTATCTCCTCCCTCCTAGATTGTAAGCTGGAAAGAGCAGGGCCCTCGAACCCCCCTCTTATATTGTATTGTTACTGTATTATCTCATGTACTGTTCCCCACTATATTGTACAGCGCTGAGAAAACTTTTTGGCGCTATATAAACACTGTATAATAATAATAATACGGTAAATCTGTATTTCAGACAGACTGTAAACTATGCTCCTATATACAGTACATGAATTATTATTTGATCAATGTTATAAGATAGCCCCCAATATATTCACTTGTCCTTATCAAAATGCTTAGCGATGCTTTACCCATATCTTACATATTAAATAAAAATAAAGAAAATGGGCAAAGCAAGGATACAGCACTGCATCTCTAACTTGTTTTGAAATGTACGTTTCCACTGGTGAATTCCAACATCCAACATGTTTTACAAAGTTTTCAGCAGAACCAACGTAGCTATTGGCTAGCAAACACTATAACAAAATTGTATTAATCAAATGAAGTAATCAAATAATGTTTCCTTGCAGCAAATTAGTTACTTCAATAAAGTTGCACATTAAAATCCAAAATGTGTGTGTTTTGTTATGTGAAAAATAAACATGTCAGCCTCCCCACCAAAAGTCCCATTACAAATTTATATTCTAACCACGTGCCTTAAGTACTGCAAGAACATCATGGGTATCATTACATCATCCCTTATTAGCAAGTCCTACCGACTCTCTTCCAAGGTCCTACTTCAGCTAATATTTCAAAAGCAAGAAAATAGAAAATGACCTCATATCCCTCCTCACTCCCATTCCTGAGGGAATAAGTTGCTTTTAACCTTCATCTGTATTGTAATATTTAGCTGCTACGACAGCACAAGAAGCTATCGGTGCTGTGCATGAAATATAGAGTTATACCCAATTAACCCTTCTTTACAAGATTGAGATACAAGGTGAATATATAAATTAACAAATCTTCAGCAGCAATAAAAAAAAAACTAGGGTGATAAGCTACTGAAAAACCAGAGTGATGTATAACAACATTTGTGTTTCCCAATCTATACTCTGCAGCGCAGATCACACAGAGAAGGTCAGTGCATAGAAACCACACAGCAAACATGCCACAAAATACACATGAAAAGCACTGCTTGAACACATTAAGATGGGGGTGTAAAACACAATGTTATTGTGGGCTGCATTAGCATTATGGTTGCCCTCAAAGGGACGGTTGTATCTGTAAGACTAGATGTCCAGAGCACTCCACCTTCCCCTTACATCAGATGTCAAGACCCCCCCCCCCCCCCCCCCACCATCATCAGAAGTCAAGTCCCCCACCTTCCCTTACATCACTATGCACCCGCCTTACATTTTGCTGCTGCTGGGAAGAAGCAGGGGGCTGAGCTGGGAAGCAGAAAGTGCAAGGTCTGGAGGAGGACCAAAGGAGGGCTGGAGCCAGCTGCTAGAGTCTACTGAAAGATGAGACCAGAGGAAGTGAAGACGAGGGGGTGCTGTGACTGCATAGAGAGGTGCAGGGTCTGTAGGGGGAGTTCTGCACTCCTCTCTGCTACCAACTGCTGAGATAAAGGGGTTGAGATGAGCCTCTCTGCAGCTGCATGGAGATATGCAGGATCTGGCAGACAAGTTCTGTCCTCCTCTCTGCTGCTGACTACTGAGACAAGTTGGGAGCAGAGACTAGGGGACTAACGCAGCTGCAGGAAAGGTGTGAATGCCACATGAAATGGTCTGGCGGGCCATATGTACGTTAACAGTTTGAAGGGTTTGTACACCTTTACCAAAAAAATCTGCCTTTTCAGATAAAGGGAATCTATAGGTAAAAACAACCTGTGCAGCTTTGACCAAAGTTAACCACTTCCCCAGGTGGACGTAATATGATGTCCTGGAAGGGAAGTGGTTATACCAAGATGATGCCTGCACTGGTATCAAAATTTACAGCTGCTGATTCCCTTTAAGGCAGAAGTAATTTGAGTAGCTGAACAGTCACTCGATCACTTCTGCGGGTGGCCTCCATCTTGTTGCAACCTCTCCCAGGCTCTCCTGTCCGATCAGGGAGCCTGGGACTGCTCTGACCGGAAGCAACAGCTGCCTTACATGGAGAGAGAGATAGGAAATGGCATTGTTCCTCCTACTCTGTGACCCCAAAAACCATAAACAACGAGTATGTAGTCACTTCTGGTTTCGGCTCTTTTTTTACCTGGCCGTTAGCATCCAAGAAAGCATGTGATTAGACCGATCTGTGTCGGCTCTCAGTAAAGAGTACCTATTACTGCCTATTGCTATCACAAGGGATGTTTACATTCCTTGTAATAACAATAAAAGGGGGAAAAAATAAAGGAAATGTGTGAAAATAAAAAAAAGTAATGAAATAACTTAAAAAAGAATATTTTAAAGCGCAATCACCTGCACAGGCGAACACATATGTAGGTCATGCATGCATATGTAAACTGTGTTTACACCACACATGAGGTATTGTCACGCACTTTATAAAGAGAGCAATAATTCCAGCTCCAGACCTCCCGTGTAACTCTAAACTGGTAACCAGTAAAAGGCATTTAAAGCTTTGCCTATGAAGATTTTTAGGTACCAAAGTTTGGTGCCGTTCCATGGCTGTAAGCAATTTTAAAACATGACATGCTAGATATCTGTTTATTCAGCATAACGTCATTTTATATTTTACAAAAAAATTTTATTATTTACTGTCTCTCTGCAACAAAATCCATTAAAGTGTATTTTTTAAAAATTGTGTTTGAAAAACTGTTGTGCAAATATCTTAAGACATAAAATATTGCAACACCCATCACTTTATTCTCTAGGCCTCTGCTAAAAAATATATGATGTTTGGGGGTTCTAAGTAATTTTCTAGCAAACAAATTTACATTTTTACATATATGAGACTGTCAGAATTGGCCTGGTATTGAATGTCTGTGCTATAGGTGTAGCCATTTTCATAAATCTCAAATGTAGCCAAAAAACTCCCAAAAGTGGTATCATCACATCCTGCCTTGTTGTTAAGGTGGTGCTTAGACTTCCAGCAGATTGACACCCCTCGCATGTACTCTCTCTACCTGTCACAGTAGTGCTGAGTTCAGCAGTACTGCGACAGAGGAGATAGAGGACCACACATATGATAAGGTTTGAGATGGTGGAGGTGAGCAATAATGACTGGGAATATCTTCATAGCAACTAGGCAGGATAGGATGATGCCATCTCTGGGATTTTTTCAGTCAGGCTTCAAGAAGTATGTAAATAGCCAACACCTATAGCAAGGGCACTCTCTGACGTTAGTTAAAGCTGCACAGTTTTTTTTTATACAGGTGCCCCTTACTTGCATAGGTAGCTTTTTGATTGAGGTGAACCAAACCTTTAAAACTGAACTGTCTCTGCGCATGTGCGAGAAATCTCCTGCTGAATGGTTCTGCCAGGACCCAAAAGCCAGGCCATCTGCACACGTGCCATAACATAGCCTGAGCATGATCCTGAACACTGATCTATCAACTAGGTAACTGGTATCAGCTGCCATCAAGTCCTCCTTCCATCATCTAAAGAAAAATACAAGAATCAAACATCTGATTCCAGCAGAATATGCTAAAATTAATCCATGCTTTTGTATGACCCAGACTGTATTATTGCACCTCCCTCTACTACAGTCTCCTCCATAAAGAACTACATCATTTGCAGCTGGAACAAAATGCAGCAACCAGTCTACTCACCATTCCCACCAGCCCCTGTCACTACCACATTCTCCCAAATTCTTCAGACCCTACACTGGCCCTGCCTATCTGACAGAACATCTGCTTACCAATACTCCCACATATTCCCTTTGTGCCCTTTATCCAATCACAACTTTTACGTACTTTGCACACCTCCAGATAGTTCCCCCACAGTATAGCCCTTAAAGAATATGTAAACCCAACATTTCAGAAACCTGATATGTGCCTGCTGTACCATGGACTTGTATGAAAAAGTATCCTGTTCTCTTGGTATTAAAACTTACCACACTAACAGGAGAACACACTGTGGTCAGTTCTTTAGCTGTGCTGAGAACTCACCCTGCTCTCCTCCAATGATCAGACTTGTCCCACCATGCCCCCTCTGCACAGCCATATGCCCCCTCTGCACAGCCATTCACTGGGAAGACCAGTGTGCTTCTGTTTCTCCTCCCCTAGTTTTTATGAAGCTGAGAACAAAGAGTATGTGATCACTACTAAAAAAAAAAAAAAGGGAAAAAAATATTTCATAACTTTATTTATATCTATACACCAGTATTCTGCTTTTCATTTCTATTTGAAACTGAATAGATTGTTTTACAAGGTGAGGGTTTACAATCACTTTAAGATCTGCTGTTTAAAATTATATCACATAAGTGCAATTTAAATATAACATAAAAGGATGGTAAAGGTCAAAGTGAACCTTTACAGTTCACTTTAGGAGAGCTTTATTCTGCTTTTGATGCTAAATTGCAGGAAAAAATCAGCTGTTTGCATAGAATTAAGATAAGATTGGGTTGACAAGGGCACATCCAATACTCACCACTATATATACACATATACATACATACATAGTTTCAGGTACAAAGCATGGCAATAGGTTTTAAAATACTGTAATACTGTATGTATGGACAATCTGGCCTCAGTGCGCCTCAATAAATGTCATTGCTTTACCCAAATTCATGTACCTGTTTTCAACAAAATTCGCATTATTGTTTCTGTGCCCTACTAAGGGTACAATCAAAAGAAAAAAAAATGCACACCCATCGTCATGAATGTCAGGAGTAGGATAATTTATCTTTGTTGTTAGGCTGTTGAAATATACAACTGATATTTGAAACATTATATATTTTTACTATCCTTTCCACTGGTAAACAAAAAATTCTAGGTCCAAAAACCTATTTTCTGTTTTCCTTTTTGTCCACTGTGGACGCAAGAAGTCATAAACCTTCATATTGTCCAAAAGCAGTCCATCTTAGGGGTGGGAAACACAACAAACAATAGCTATAATTCTCAACAGGAACTGGGAAAAGCCTGTAGCTAAAAGAGCCTTAAGGACCTTTCACATGGCTGGCATTATTTGAGGCTGATATGACCATTTGGTAGAACTTAGAGAACATGTGAATAGAAGGTGAAGGTGGCAGTCTTACCAAATTGGGAAACAGAGACCCAAGAGGCACTTGGGCCTATTCAGCATCAGGCACGTTTTTTGGCAAGACAAAAAAAAGGTTCTTTACAAGATAATGATGCCAACTCGGACACTCATCTCACAGTCTACAAAGACAGCAACCCTGTGAGTGACAGTAAAGAGGAATGTCTCTAATGGGTTCAGACTGTGGCTTCAACTAGATTCAGATCCCATGGGATCACAAGGGAGCATACATGTGTTTCACATGGGACAGCCAACTGTACAAAAGTCTTAACCAAAGAGTGAGAGGCCAATGGTCCCTGCAAGAGAATGAAAAGAGCCGAGACTTTATCGCCCATGGTGCTGAGAGCCAAATGCCGGCCCAGATGCAACTGCAGAAAGGAGAGGATTAGTTTCCCAGGGGAAAGCCTGTAGATTTACACCAAGTGATGTTAGTATTTCATGTTCAAAGATAGACAGTGTGGGAAATGGCCTTTATAGCCTTGAGCATCATAGGAATCACAGACTAAGATACCTCAGTCCCTCAGAACCTGGGCTTCAACAGCTATGCCACTAAAACCAGCAACAGTAAAGTGAGATGGCAAATTGGCCCTTGGGACTTTAAATCCAGGTAGTCTAACATCTGCTTGGGCCAATCCAGAGCAATGAAGTTCAGCAGAATTCCCTCTATCTTGATCCTGTAGAGCAGGCCAAAAGAAGTTTTAGGGGAAAGACCCTACAGAACCGCTGCTTCCACCAGTGGATTCCTGGACCTAGATTCAAACCTGTCCAGGTTGTTGCTGAACCAGGATGCCAGGAGATCCACATTCAACATCCCCCACCCGTGACACAGGTTCTTCAACACTTCTAGGTATAGAGACAACTTTCCGAACTCTCTAAACCTCCAACAGGCTGGTTGAACACTGAATTGATAAAAATCACCTGAAGCTCCAAGGTATTTACTGGGAGAAGAGTGTCCATCGCCAACTAAGTCTACCACCCAACTGGTCATGTTGGCATCCACTATGAAACTTTTCCATAAGAGAAGGAGAAAACACTCCCCCCCTCCCATCCTCCAGAGCCAGATTCCTAAGCCACCAAGCCAGATCCTTGATGTCATGAATCAGCCTGTCCAAAAACAGACCTGAATCATTCCATAATAACAGAACATTCCATTGCAGAGGTGGTCTGGAGTGAAAATTGTCAAAAGGAACTGTCTTGAAGGAGGCTATCATGAGTTCCAAGACCCCGTGCAAAACTGAAGAGTTGGATGGCTTTTGGACTGAAGAGTTCGAACCTGAAACCTAAATGACTGAAGCTTCTTCTGGAGAAGGAACACTCTGGCCTGATAGTTGTGCAGTACCAGATGGAATCTACCAGATCTGTCATTACTTTTCCTCATCAGGGAGACTTTCTGAATTCTGCAGACATCAAAGATACTTACTTACATGTTTCCATCTTTCCAGTGTGCCAACATTTTTTCAGGTTAGCCGTAGGGGCCCCTTCACTACTAATTCAGTTTTGGCCTTTCTTTGGTACCTCATGTGTTCAATAAAAAGTGCAAGGAAGCAACCTCCTAAATGCAAAGAGTAGTACATCACAGGAATCAATCAGAACTCACATTGCTGAAGTCAGATCGATACAGGATGGATTCTAATTGGTTGCTATAGGTATTGCACTTTGAACATAGACCTTTTCTGTATTTTGTTTTACCGAGTACATCTAATAGAAAAGAGCGCCTAACTGTTACTGTACCTTTTCTAGGGAGGAAATCTGAAGCTGGAATCCATCATTCTTTCTAGTTGCTTCCTCAGATAAAGCTTTATATTTCTCTGCTTGGGTCTGCTGTACATTTGCTGTTCTCTGTAGTCGTACACGCTCCTCCTCCAGTTCTTTTACACGAGTCAGAAGTGTTCGGCTCTCATCATCCTGTTGGTTACATAAAAAGCCAAATGAACAGTTGTCAATAAGCATTACAATTGTTTAAGAAAAAAATTAGACAGTCAATAGGGTTAAAGATCCTAACACTAATCTGTGCTGTACTGTGCTCAGCTCTCTAGACATGCAATACAAGCTACAATGCACTACTTTTAAGCTCCTGATGCTCCTTTCTCTGCCAATTACAATTAGAGGCATGACTGAACAGGTAAGATTAGCCAAGTGTTTTAAGAAATAAACGCCACCAAACAGAAAATACACATGGAAGTTTCCAAAAACAGGTCTTTTATTTACAATGAACAATGTGTTATTTTTTGGTGCAATACTTTCATATCAGAGGTCAGGTTGAAGCCTAGCTGTGCCCAGCATGGCACAATGTAAGCATGCATATCTCATACCTGATGGGCTTTTTGGGAAGCTGTAAATCACAGCAGCATTCAGCACTATCACGGTGTTAGCTGAAATGGTACCGCCCTTCACACAATCACTTAGAGAATGCCTTATCTTCACTGAATTCAAGTGACCCACCTATGTTCTGTATGTAGAGGGAAAACCACTCACACAGAACCCACGCAGGACACGGAATATCGTGGCTATCACTGCAGTAGTGCCAACTATTACAGTGATATTCAGCTTTCCCAGTGGCCCATAAGTTATGAGATATGCCTATTTGCCTTGTGCCAAGCTGAACCACTGAAAGTATGCAAAACAGAACATTCTTTGAGTTCAGATTTAACAGTTTTAGTATGCATCAGTTAACTTGACATTAATCCTGTGATTCATTTATTTACCTAAATACAGTTGCAAGAAAAAGTATGTGAACCCCTTGGGATTACGTGGAGTTTTGCATGAATTGGGCATAAAATGTGCTCTGAACGTCATCTAAGTCACAACAATAGAAGAACACAGTCTGCTGAACATAATACTACACAAACATTAGATGTTGCCATGGTTTAATTGCACATAACATGTAAACATTCACAGTGCAGGGAGGAAAAATATGTGAACCTTTGGACTTAATAACTGGTTGACCCTCCTTTGGCAGCAATAACCTCAACCAAACGTTTCCTGTAGTTGCAGATCAGACCTGCACAGCGATCTGGAGTCATTTTGGACCACTCCTCTTCACAAAACTGTTTCAGTGTAGCAATATTCTTGGGATGTCTGGTGTGAAATCGCTCTCTTAAGGTCATGCCACAGCATTTCAATCGGGTTGAGGTCAGGACTCTGACTGGGCCACTCCAGAAGGCGTATTCTGTGCTGTTGCAGCCATTGTTTTGTTGAATTACTTGAATGCTTTGGGTCATTGTCCTGTTGCATCACCCATCCTCTGCGGAGCTTCAGTTGGCGGACAGAAGGTCGTACGTTTTCCTGCAAAATGTCTTGATAAACTATAGAAGTCATTTTCCCATCAATGACAACAATCCGTCCAGGCCCTGAGGCAGCAAAGCAGCCCCAAACCATGATGCTCCCTCCGCCATGTTTTACAGTGGGGATGAGGTTTTGATGTTGGTGCGCTGTGCCTTTTTTTCTCCACACATAGTGTTGTGTGTTCCTCCCAAACAACTCAATCTTGGTTTCATCTGTCCACAGTATATTTTGGCAGTAGTACTGTGGAACATCCAGGTGCTCTTTTGCAAACTTCGAACGTGCTGCAATATTCTTTTTGGACAGCAATGGCTTCCTCCGCGGTGTCCTCCCATGTACTCCATTCTTGTTTAATGTTTTCCTTATTGTAGATGTGTCAACAAAAATGTTAGCATGTGCCAGAGATTTCTGTAGGTCTTTAGCTGACACTCTGGGATTCTTCTTTAGCTCATTTTTACAGGACGACCACGCCTAGGGAGAGTAGCAACAGTGCTAAACTTTCTCCATTTGTAGACAGTCTGTCTTACCGTGGACACATGAACATCAAGGCTTTTGGAGATACTTTTGTAACCCTTTCCAGCTTCATGCAAGTCAACAATTCTTGATCGTAGGTCTTCTGAGAGCTCTTTTCTGCGAGGCATGGTTCACATCAGACAGTGCTTCTTGAAACCAGTAAACCCAAAACAGGTGTGTGTTTTTTTAAGGGCAGGACAGCTGTCAGCAACACATCCAATATCATCACACTGATTGCAGTCAAGGTTGGCTCACTCCTGGCTCCAATTAGCTCTGGGAGAAGTCATTAAGCTAGCAACTCACATACTTTTTCCTCCCTGCACTGTGAATGTTTACATGTTATGTGCAATTAAACCATGGCAACATCTAATGTTTGTGTAGTATTATGTTCAGCAGACTGTGTTCTTCTATTGTTGTGACTTAGATGACGTTCAGAGCACATTTTATGCCCAATTCATGCAAAACTCCACGTAATCCCAAGGGGTTCACACACTTTTTCTTGCAACTGTAACTGTTATACTATTAAGGATATATAAGGATTTGTTTGTGCACCATTTTAATACCCTGCACATCTTTTACTTATGCATTTTTTGGTTATTTTACCCAAGTTTTTATATTACTACTGCAGCAATTCACAATTAAATATGTCCCCATTGGTATCCTGACTGAAAAGATCCCAAATATAGGTAATTTGTACCACAAATGATGTGTACCATTGGACAAGAAGTATAGTATATACAGTGAGGTTTTTAAACTTGTTCAGTATTTCTCATACAATGCTCTGTAAACAATGGATTTAGCTCACAGCCAAAGGAGGAAGGGGCCAAGAGCGCTGGCGGAGGACCCGAGAAAAGGAGATCTGGGCTGCTCTGTGTGTTTGTTATAGAAAAAAAAAAAAAAAAGGCCTTTAAAATCATTTTAAGATAATAGGGAATTGTCAAAAGACATCAAAACTGTTCCGATAAAGCCTCTGCTTTACAGTCGTGTCTTTCCTGCTGTGATTAGAGTTCTCCTTTAAGACAAAGGTGTAGTTTTCCTTTAACTTGACAGGACTAAATACATGGTCTTTAGAAAAAGACCAACTGTGCTAACAGGCCTGGAACATTGGTTTTACCTTTTTATTACATTCATGAGTTATGTTGTCCAGCTCCTCTTGCATGACTCGCAGCTTTGCCTTCAGAAATCTAATTTGAGCTTCTGTGAATAGAAAACATATATGCATCGTATAGATAGACTTATGTATGCACACTATACTTTGTATGTTCAGTTGTATGAGGTCAATTTGTGGCAAGATTAAAAGAATGATTTTTCCTAACTATACATTTTTAGTGTGAATGTCGTATATTTGTAATGTATTTAATTTTCAAAGGAAAAGTTACATGGAAAATTAAAGCCCAGCTAAAATCATAGAAATAAATATGTAATGAGATTAGTTTGTTTCCTACTGCAGCTGTGCAGAGGGTTTAAATATTCAATGCAAATAAACTGATCAAATTGACTAAAAATCGCAAACCAAAGTTCCTCCATTTGATCAACTGAATAAGCTCTTGATTGATTTAGATGCAAATATTAGCATGTGTGTGTCAGAGAACTGATCACAAAAGGATGATTTTTATTAGATCATCTTGATTTGTAATGTATAGACCACATCTTTGCAAAGTGTGAAACCAATCGTTCAATAATTTAATCAATGAAGAATCACTTGTTTATGATTGCTTGTACCTAGATCTATCTCCAACTACATTTATAAGACCCACTTCTCTTAGCACTGTAAATGACCTGGTCAGACACACTCCTCCCCTTCCCTAATCAAAAACTTGTGCTATGAAGCTTGTGCTGGAGGTATGGCTGTTACAAACCTCTGCTAGCACAGGGCTGTGCAGTGTGAAGGCTGGAAGAAAATGTTCTAGCTTAAATAAAAAGGTATTTAAGGCATCCCTAGCTAAGATTAGTCACAAATTATAACAAGTGGGGTATAGGACTATAAAGAGATAAAAATGTGCTAAAAATCAATTCAACATAAATAAAAAAAAAAGTCAGCAGCTACAAATACTGTGCAGAACTTCCAGTGAAATTGCCTAGGTGATTCAAGCAGAAGTGGAAGTAGATAACTGCCAGAAAAAGGTGTGGCTCCCCCCACAATCCCTAAAAAAAAAAAAAAAAAAAAAAGTATCAAAAGAGGAGGGGGGCCTGCAAGGCCGCATGGTTTTCAAAATTGTGACAGCGAGTGCAGGAGGGGATCAGGGGGAGAAGGTGCAGATGCTGTAACATATTACCACTAAAAACATGTCACATGTTCCAAAGGTGAACTTGTCCTTTAAAAAATACATTGGGGTGTTAACTCTGCAAATGTAGTAATATTTTTGGTGTTTCCACTGTCCTCGTGCTCCAAGGCCTCCAAAAACGTCATAGGTAGTCAGGAAATTAGATGCATAATTTATGCCTCTAGAAAACCTGAAGGTTCTCATTGGATTTTGGGCCCCTCTAAAGTCTAACGCATGTGGTATCCCCATACTCAGGCAGAGTAGCAGAATGTGTTTTGGGTGTAATTCCAAGTATGCCTATGATGTGTGTTAGAAATATCTTATTAATTAACAACTTTGTGTAAAAAAGCATTTTAAATTTCTTTCCTGCATTTTCCAAAAACTTGTGGCAAAATGACATTTTAAAAGACTCACTATGAAACCCTTGGGGTATTTGCTTTCCAAAATGTGGATATTTTGTGGGTATTTCTCCTGCTCTGACATTTCACAGACTCAAGAAATATCACAGGTAGCCAGGAAGCTAGACGTGTGATTTATGCTCCTTTAAAGCTCAAAAGGTGCTCCTTGGATTTTTGCCCTTCTATGCATCTAGGCTTTGAAAAAGTCTCACACATGTTTTATTGATCTGAGGCCTAATCAGTCCTCCACCAATAATGTAGCCAAGGTATTTGGCCTCCTCCAAGCCCATGGCAAACTTTTTGGGGGTGGTGGTAAGACCTGCTTTCCTAAGTGAATTTACTAAACCGGGGCAAATGAGACTCCCAATCTGGGCTGTGGGTGATTACATTGTCCAAATAGGCAGCTGCGTATTGACGATGTGGTCTTAACGTTCTGTCCATCAGTCTATGGAATGAGGCAGGAGCACCATGCAAACCAAACGGCATCCGCTTATATTGGGAGGACCCCTCAGTGGTAGAGAATGCTGTATTTTCTTTTGCAAATTCCATTAGGAGTATCTGCCAATGGCCTTTAGTCAGATCTACGGTAATTATGTATCGGGCCGTTCCCAACCTGTCATTGAAATCATCCACCCGAGGCATCGGGTAAGCATCGAACTTAGACACACTGTTCAATTTTCTGAAATCATTACAAAATCTGATTGTTCCAACTTGCTTTGGGGCTAACACTATGGGACTTGACCAATCACTGTGGGACTCCACAATCACTCCCAACTTTAACATGTTCTTTATTTCATTTGCCACTGCTTCCCACCTGGCCTTGGGTATTGTATAGGGGTTTACATTTACACGGACACCCGGCTGTGTAACTACATTATGCTGCATTACTGTGGTCAATCCGGGTAGGTGCGAGAAAAAGTCTCCATTCTTTCTGACAAACTCCTTAACATCATTCTGTTGGGCCATTGACAATGTTTCAGTTACAGGTACCTGAGGTGTCCTGGGGGCCATGTCTTTTTGGGAGGTTGGTACTGCCAGTAAACGCGCTCTGTCCTTCCAAGGTTTTAAGAGATCATCGTGATATATTTGCTCAGGTTTCCTTTTCCCTGACTGGTAAACTTTACAGTTTACTTCACCTATTTTCTCCATAATTTCAAAGGGATCTTGTCACTTTGCGAGGAGTTTACTCTCCACTGTGGGAACTAGCACCAGCACTCTATCCCCAGAGTTGAAGGATCCTGACACCCCGGTTATAAATCCTTCTCTGGGCCTCCTGGGCTTGCCCCATATGTTCCTGTACAAGCAGCATGACGGCTGCGATTCTATCCTGCATCTGTGAGATATGCTCGTTGACGCTTCTACAGGGCGTAATCTCTCCCTCCCACCTGTGCCCAACAGTGCCTACTAGTGCCACCCATCAGTGCCCAGCAGTGTCGCCAGTCAGTGCCGCCAGTCAGTGCCCATCATTGTTGCATATCAGTGCCAGCTCATCAGTACCACCTATCAGTGCTGCCTATCAGTGCAGCCTCATCAACGCACAACAGTGAAGGAGAAAAATTACCTGTTTGCAAAATTTTATAATAGAAACAAAAAAAAACTTCTTTGTGTTTTTTTCAAAATTTTTGCTCTTTTTTTGTTTATAGCACAAAAATAAAAACACCCAGTGGTGATTAAATACCGCCAAAAGAAAGCTCTATTTGTGTGAAAAAAATTGATAAAAATGTAATATGGGTACAGTGTTGCATGACCGCGCAATTGTCAAAGTGTGACACCGCTGAAAGCTTAAAATTGGCCTGGCCAGGAAGGGGGTATAAGTGCCCGGTAGGCAAGTGGTTAAGGAGCTCTCGGTCTGCTTGTTGGCCCTCTGCAAACTGGCGTTTCGCCTCCTGCTGTGCTGCAGTGGCCCTGCAAACTGGTGATTGGTTTCCTGCTCGGTTGTCATGGCCTGCAGCAAGGCTCTTAACACCTCCTCCATCTTCCCACTTGCTCAGGAAGTCGCCCTCAAAAATTCCACCATATGTGGGGGTTAGCTCAGGTGGCGGATCACCTTCTCTTGGGAACAGGGTAGTACAGACGGCAGAGCTTTCTAAAAAATCTGACCTGTAGTCAGTTTTATTTAAAAGGTTGCATGCATCATAAACCAAACAGAACAGAAAATGGCCTGGGCAGAAGGGGTGGGGAAACGTTCTGGTCTTGAAGTGGGTAAATTCTCTCAAAGTAAACCTAATAGATCTGCCAATCCAAATCTGACAATTTAGAAATATTTGAGAACTGCTGTACTGAATTACTCACTGGGTTATTATATCTTTTAGGAACATAGAAATTATAATTAAATTGGAGATTTAAATTCACTTGTACTGTAGTCCATCATCACCTTTAGCAGAGAATTCCAAAATATGGCCACACTTACTGTAAAGAATCACCTTATATGCAGATGGTAAATTGATTTCTCTTTAAGTCTATGCTGAGGTTACTGTTAATTGCTAAGATGAAAAGCTCATGAGGCAGTTTTTATACTGACTTCCAACACTTAAATATATTAAAGAGATCTACTGTTAGGGCATTCTGTGAAATAAAAATATAGAGTTTGCTAATCTTTCTTCATGGCAAACTCTCCATCTATCTCAAGTCCTGCTATGTCCTTTCTGTTCTGGTCTGAAAAAGGATTTGGCATTTTGACATCTAAAAGTGAAACATTAGTTATGGATGGCAAATGGGCTTATTATACTTATTTATTTGACTATACAAACGGCACTGCCTGGACAAAACGTCAAATATATGACACCTGACTAAATACGACAAGCATGCAGAGCTACGGAGCAGAAAGGATCACTGTCAGCAACCAACAGAACAGTCACACAGAAGCCAGAATTAGATATGACAGAATCCCATGACCTGATATCACTCTGGCAGAAAGCAGAGTTTTCAAAACCTTGAGTTATTACTGACAAAAGCGTTTAATAAAATATTTCCTTGATCACTGTTCCAACACGAAAGTTGAACATTATATGCATCATATGCTGCCACAGCCAGCTCAGGGTCTGAGGTTCATGGTTTCATCTCACACACAAGTTGCATTGGCTCATGCCCAATGCTGACACTGCAGCACAATATCAAGGGAGACCAGAAGTAGCGGAGGTGACAGACATCCTTTGGATGAGACATGAAGCAAATTTATTACTCACACTCCAACAACTCGTAGCCACATGGGCTTTGCTGCAATGCTGTCAAAATGATCAACATCCCCCCCCCACACTTTAACCATTGTGGTTATACTGTAAGTGGGACTGCTTAGCTATACTTACTGTACTATCTTGAACTAAGAATTTTTTTGAAAGGCCACTTACTGGTTTTTCTGTTCATTGAGACTCCCATTGTCAACTCCTCTTCCAGATAATGCTAGTTGCTGCTCTATCATGCTTACCCTCTTGTTTCAACACTTTGAGTTAATGACAAATATGCAGATGTGTTTGCTTCAACTTTCATAATCGGCATACTTGTTCTAGATCAGAGATTCAGAATAAAGAGAAGCTAG